TGGCCTGTGGAGGCTGGCGGGGGAGAGCCCGTGTGCGCCGGGGACACAGCCTGGCTCCCGGGGCTGCCTGGGCAGGAGGAGCCCGCTACAGCGGGGAAAGGGCGAAACTGAAGGGAGGACTCCCTCAGACCAAAGGGAGGTAACAAATAACTGTACGACCTAAGGCTTCAGGTAGTCAGAATGAGAAGGGGGGTGATAGAGTTTCATATTATGACAGATTGTTGCTCATCTGCCCTTACAGTCCTAAGGAAGAGTCATGTTTCATTTCTCAAACTGATAACAGGATACTGTGGTACCCTCATTGAGAAGTCCTGGCTTTGCCTTCTGTACTGCCAGTGTGTAGGGGACCAGGTGGCTCTCTTAGCAGAGATTGACCTAAGTTCTGGTGTGTTTCTGGATAGGAGTTAATGAAAAATGAATCCGGTTTTCTTGACTTGAAAGGAATCACTAGAGCCCATTCCTGTACTTAAATAACAGGAGTTGCTGGCATAAGAAGTATTTCCCTTGTTATGGTGCTGTCTCATTTGTTCAATACACTGATGCAGCACCTCATTGTTTGGATGGTTTTGTGAATACAAACATGTCTGTGGCTTTGTGATACAGAATAGTAATAAAGCCTAGACCAGCACATGGAGAACAGTCTTCTGGTGATGAAATAGCGTGTGGTCTTGTGCACAGCAGCCAGTGTGGTTGGTAGACAACAGTAGAGTGTTAGTTGTAACTTACGAACTCAAATCTCCAAAAATATTCTCTTTGCAAACTTAGCGAGGTCTTCAGTTCAGGGAAAAATCTTATTGGGTTAGTCTTGTGTTTTGAACTTGAAATTTGGTTGAAGTGTCAGTTTGATCTGTTTGTGAGGGGCATGTGACTGATGCTGTATGGCATCCAAGTTTGTCTTCTGGCTCTGCTCTTCTGTAGCCAGTTCATTGTATAAAGGAAAAGCATGGCAGGCTTCCCCTGTTGGACTGCTAAGGTGTTAACAGCATCTGACACACGAGTTACTAATTCTTGTGGCCACAGCTTAAATACCTGTGAATGCAGAAAGCTCCTTAAAGATGAATGAAATGCCATATCATTCAGGTCCTGGAGATGGAATGGTGTGCAAGTTGAACCTGAAATTCTTATTCCAGTTTGCATCTCTTCCCCTTCCCCCTTCTGTGTTTATGGAGGGACAGGAGGGGTGAACTTTGTGAGCCAGGGTTTGAGGTTTTTGATGTAGGCTGGAACAGCTTAAAAATGGAGAGTCAATAAACCTGGCTTTGGAGTAAGAGCCTGCTCTAACTTTAAGTGGCTTCCACTATCCTCCCAGCTATGAGTGATTAATAGTCTGCTGTAGTTAAAGCATGGGTTTGTTGCTCATCCATGGAGAGCACAGACTCAACAGTCATGCTGACAACAGGATTAACTATGGCAACACCCAGCATATTCAAGTACAGTGCAACTGGGATTTCTGGATTAACTCTGTTTTTCAGTAAAGCAGATTTGTATTCCTGTCTGGTACAAAGAGGAAAACCACTTCTTCCACTGTCTGAGAAAGCTTCTGTGAGTGACACCTGTAAAGGAATGTGAAGGTGATAGCCAGCTAGATGTGGCCCTTTTCCTAACACACCTCTTCAGAAATGGACTAGCTTCTGACGAATGTCTGCTTTCAGCATGCTTGACTAGTCTGTCTCAAGTCTGCGCTAGTGGACAGAAGGAGCAGTACTTCTGTTGGTTTAAGTATGTGCTCTTGAGATGGGCAACTCATGTAACTTGTAACAGGGTTTGACTGTGGGACATAATGCCTTTTATAGCAGAAGCAAATGGGGTATATAAACTGTTAGAAAGCTGGTGTTGCCAAAGTTTTTCTCTTCACACTAGCTGCCTCTATTTGAGTCAAAGCAAATACTGAAAACTTGCAGCTTCAGGTGCAGATGATAGTTTTAGAAGTGGTGTCTGCTAGGGAGTTTCAGCAGTTGAGCCTTCAGCCTGTTTATGCTAGCTTCTGTATTTTAAAAAAAAAACAAAACCACTAAATTATGTCAGCTGATGACTGGTTAATCAAAGTTCAAGGGTGACTTGATATATGTTGGAAATCATGTTTACAGCTGAGGTCTACACCATCTGGCAGATTTGATTAAAGCTATCTTATCTGTTGCTGAGGGCAGTAGACTCCATTTTGAGGTATTACCTGGTGCTAGGAATCCCTACTGCACTAGAGGCTTTCACTATTAGAGCCCTTTTCTCTGACTTGGCCATTGGAAACAGGCCTGCTACCAATGTATTTGTTGAATGCAGCATGTGCTTTTCTGCTGGAGGACAATACAAGCAAAATGAGGTCTTGGGTGTGCTCAGGGAGGTTGTAGTTAAAGGTTCAAAAAAACCCAAAACCCCCAACAACCAGCTGGTCAGAAGCTTCCCCCAGTAGGGTTCTACCTGAAGAAAATACTAGTTAACAAAGTTATAAGATCCTGTAGTGTCACCAAATGGTCTTGTGGTGGGAGGTTCCCCTTTTGTTAACAAAGATGATTTGGTTTTTATATGAAAGCTTGTCATGTCGTAGTTAACATGAAAGATGACTGTGGAATTCAATCAGACGGGTTGAGTAGCTTGTTTTGCCCCCACTACTGTCTTCCTTCCTCCAGGGAAATTAAGTTCTCTGGGAAAACTTTCAGGACTTCTCCCTAGTTCAATATTTTTTTAACTTGCAAGAGTAAGCACCTCTGGACCTGCATCTCTTTCTACTCTCCCACAGCAATTTTAGCTGATGCTAGAGGTGACTTGCAGGGTAACACCTGATTGTGGTCAGGACCAGGTCTCCAGTGGTGTGTGGTGTGTGACCAATTGTAGGTATCATGCCCTCCCACTTTCCCCTTGTTCTGTGCAATAGCAACCCTGAGGTGTGTGGCCATATGATGGACACATCCCAGGGCCAGACTTCCTTTTGCAGAATACAATAATTATGCAGCTGGACAGAAGAGTTAAGGGTAAGAAGAGGATGGTCTAACTGGCAGGTGCAGGAAGTGGAATTGTTAAAGAGCTGGTGGTGGTACAATGCAGAGGTATGAGAAGCTATACCAAAAACCAAGCTGTAGGATTCGAAGGTGGGGAGGAGTGAGGCTTGACTGAGAAACTTGTGGTATAAGTAGGTGCAGGGAGCAGCTAGCATGGATTGCTGTGTACAGGGACACTGCACTTTGGTGGGAATGGGGTACTTCTGGGATTGGGGTGCAGGA